ACTATTGGCAACTGTATTTTTATGCCTATGCTCTTCGTTATATTAAGTATCTGTAGCAAAGTTATTTTCCATGTCCAAATGACACACTAAACATATATCATCAATATTACATATTTTTGCAGCAGGCAATTGCCTGCCGTGAATTTTTTTTTTTTTTTTTTTTTTTTTTTTTTTTTTTTTTTCTTGAGACAGAGTCTCATTCTGTCACCAGGCTGGAGTGCAGTGGCACAATCTCGGCTCACTGCAACCTCCACCTCCTGGGTTCAAGTGATTCTCCTGCCTCAGCCTCCTGAGTAGCTGGGACTACAGGTGTGTGCCACCATGCCCAGCTAATTTTTGTATTTTTAGTATAGAAGGGGTTTCATCATGTTGGCCAGGGTGGGATTACAGGCATGAGCCACTATGCCTGGCTGGCTTGAATTCTTTTTTTTTTTTTTTTTTTTTTTTTTTAACAGAGAAAGAAAAAAAGAATGAAGAAGAGGAAGAAAGAGAAAGAGGTAGAAGGAGAGAGAATGGAGGTGTTGCTTTATTGCCCGGGCTAGAATGCAGTCTAAATATGGGTATGCCTATAATTGTGCTTAATAATGGAGACATGAAAGAAAATGAGGGAAGAGAATAACAAACAAGGAGCCAACCAATATTTCGTTTAAACTTCTAAGTTGATATGATGTGGTACTGATAAGAGTGTACATTTTGTGTATTTAAAGTGGTGAGTTCTATAAATGTTAATTAAGTTTACTTGTTCCAGATCTGAGTTCAAGTCCTGGATATCGTTGTTAATTTTCTGTCTCATTGATCTGTCTAATGTTAATGTTGAAGTCTCCCACTATTATTGTGTGGGAGTCTAAGTCTCTTTATTAGTCTTGTATGTCTGGGTATTCCTGTATTGGGTGCATATATATTTAGGATCTTTAGATCTTCTTGTTGTTGCATTGATCCTTTTATCATTATATAATGTCCTTCTTTGCTTCTTTTGATTTTTGTTGCTTTAACGACTATTTTATCAGAGGCAAAAATTGTAACTTCTGCTTTTTATTTATTTATTTATTTTTGCTCTCTGTTTGGCTGGTAAATCTTTCTCCATCCCTTTGTTTTGAGTCTTTGTGTATCCTTGAATGTGAGATGGGTCTGGATGCAGCATACCGATGGGTTTTAGTTTTTTATCCAAATTGCCTGTCTGTCTTTGGATTGGGGGATTTAGTTAATTTAAATTTAGAATTAATAATGATATATGTGAGTTTAATACTGCCATTTAATATTAGCTGGCTGTTTTGCCCATTAGTTGATGTAAATTCTTCATTATATTGATGCTCTTTACTTTTTGGTATTTTTTAGAAAGGCTGATACTGTTTGTTCCTTTCTATGTGTAGTGGTTCTTTCAGAAGCTCTTGTAAAGCAGGCCTGGTGGTGATGAAATCTCTGAGTGCTTGCTTGTTCACAAAAAACTTTTTTTTCCTTCACTTATGAAGCTTAGTTTGGCTGGATGTGAAATTCTTGGTTGAAAGTCCTTTTCTTTAAGGATGTTGAATATTGGCCCCCACTCTCTTCTGGCTTGTAAGGTTTCTGCTGAGAGATCTGCTGTAAGTCTGATAGGCTTCCCTTTGTGGGTAACCTGACCTTTCTCTCTGGCTGCCCTTAGTATTTTCTCCTTCATTTCAACCCTGGTGAATCTGACGATTATGTGCCTTGGAGTTGAACTTCTTGAGGAATATCTTTGTGGTGTTCTCTGTATTACCTGGAGTTGAATATTATCCTGCCTTCCTAGGTTGGGAAAATTTTCCTGAATAACATCCTGAAGCGTATTTTCCAGTTTGGATTCATTCTCTTCCTCACTTTCAGGTACACCTATCAAGCGTAGATTAGGTCTTTTCACATAGTCCCATATTTCTTGGAGACTTTGCTCGTTCCTTTTTATCCTTTTTTCTCTAATCTTGTCTTCTCGTTTTATTTCATTGAGTGGGTCTTCGACCTCTGATATCCTTTCTTCTGCTTGATCAATTCGGCTGTTAAAACTTGTGCATACTTCACAAAGTTCTCGTATTGTGTTTTTCAGCTCCATCAATTCACTTATATTCCTCTCTAAATTGTGTATTCTTGTTAACATTTAGTCAAACCTTTTTTCAAAGTTCTTAGTTTCTTTGGATTGGGTTAGAACAAGTTCTTTTAATTCACAGAAGTTTCTCATTATCCACATTTTGAAGCCTGCTTCTGTAATTGGAACACACTCGTTCTCCATCAAGCCTTTTTTTTGTTGCTGATGAGGAACTGTGATCCCCCGCTGAGGGAGAGGCGTTCTGATCTTGGGTATTCTCAGCCTTTTTTGGCTGTTTTCTTCCCTTCATTGTACATTTATCCATCTGTGGTCTTTGTATTTACCATCTTTGTAATTGGGTTTCTGAGTGGACGTCCGACTTATTGATTCTCAGCGCTGAAATCTGAGCAACCCACTGTGCCGACTAAATCAGCGGCGTTAAGATTGATGGTGCTTTTCTGACTCTGCACCAAGAACCGACGCTCCAAGGCGCCAGCAAAACCGCCTCGCTGGTCACAAGAGTCGTGCTGGCGACCCGTCTGGCTCCTCCGCTGGGAATCTCCTGGTGCGTGAGCAACAAGAATTCATCTGAAAGTGTGGCGTCCTCTCGTTCTCTGCGCTTTCACTGGGAGCTACAACCCCGAGCTGCTAGTGATCAGCCATCTTGGATCTCATCTCGGCTTGAATTCTTTATAGCTGAGTTATGTTAGCTCTTTGCGAAGCAAACAAAAATCATTTCCTACTTGAAGAAAACTAGAGAAAGAAGAGGAAAGAGAAAATTTGCGAAGTGATTAAAAAGGAATAATTATAGAGTCACCTTTTCTTTTCAAGTTTGCAACTGAAATACCTTTGGTCCAGCTGTGCCTTTAAGATTTTCTGGTACAAAAGTAGGAAGTTATCTCAGGGTGATCTGTAAAAAATAATATCTTGTGCTACTAGAATAATTTTATTCTGATAATATCAGAAAAATTTAGTTGCCCTTTTGTTTAAGGAAAGTCTTAAACATGAGTTTAAGTTTCTTTTTTTTTTTTTTTTTTCTGGAGGCAGAGTTTCACTCTTGTCACCCAGGCTGGAGTGCAATGGCACAATCTTGGCTCACCACAACCTCAGCCTCCTGGGTTCAAGCAATTTTCCTGCCTCAGCCTCCTGAGTAGCTGGAATTACAGGCACCTGCCACCACGCCCAGCTAATTTTTGTATTTTTAGTAGAGACAGAGTTTTGCCAAATTGGCCAGGCTGGTCTTGAACTCCTGACCTCAGGTGATCCACCGACCTCAACATCCCACAGTACTGTAATTATAGGTGTGAGCCATTGCGCCCAGCCTGATTTTAAGTTTCTTTGGCATAGCTCTCAAGTTATATTGAAGCTCCAATATTGGAACATTCTAATTAAACCTCTTTGAAGAAATCATTTTACAGTTTGTTCACTAGGGAAACCAGCCATGACTGTCAGTTTGCTGGAGCCCTGGATCACTGAATCCAGCTTCTAGAATCCAGTTGTCATTAACAGTTTATAAACCCGAAAAGAACAGGGGAGTATTCCTTTCTCTGGTCTTTCCCTCAGTTCTTTCATTTCTTTGCTTCCTCCTCAATTCTGTCCCCCACACTCTTCTCACCTCTCCAGTTCCTAATTTGCAATACAGTTCTTTTGAATCATCCTCAATATTGTATTGGTTTTAAGTTGGAACCCCATTAAACTATCATTTTGCCGAACACAAATTTCATTAAAGTATAATTTGTGGCTTAATGGCAGGCTAAATAAAACATTTTTTAATTAATTAATTTACATCGATTTAAATGGAAACCTACCCTTTTAGTGTAAGGAATTTTGGTGGGCGTGAAAGAGAAAAGGTAAAGTACAGAGAGTTCTAAGCTACTAAACCACTGAAACACACAATTCTAAAAATACAATCTTTCAAATAGGTTTTATTATTTATTTACTATTTTTAGAGACAGGGTCCCTCTCTGTTGCCCCAGCTAGAGTGCAGTGGTGCAATCAAGCCTCACTGTAACCTCCAACTCCTGGGCTCCAGTGATCCTCCTGCCTCAGCCTCCTGAGTAGCTAGGATTACACGTGTGTACTACTGAGACAGCCAAATATATAGGGGTCCCTGGAGAACGTCTGACCAGCCTGCGCACTGGGAGAAGAGGGTGGAGCCACGGGAAGTTTGCGCCCTTTGCAGTGGGGAGGAGCCTGGACTCTCCTGTTCCAGGATGGTAACCTGGGATTCAGTCTGTGAGGCGGGAGACCAGCCACCAGGACTCTCACTTTGCTTAGAGTCCCTGTTTCCCCTTTTCCCTTTTCACACAATAAATTCTATTTCTCTCACCCTTCAAAATGTCTGCAAGCTTAATCTTTTCTGGTCATGTGACAAGGATCCTAAGGAGAAAGTCCTACAACACTACGTGTCCAGCTAATTAAAAATACACACCTATATAATTGTAGAGATGGGTTCCTGCTTTGTTGCACTGGCTGATCTTGAGCTCTGGCCTCGAGTGATCCCCCTGCCTTGGCCTCCCAAGGTGATGGGATTACTGGTGTGAACCATTACATAACGCCTAGCCTCTCAAAGTTCTTGGCGGAAAGTTGAGGGGGGCATTATGGGACGCTAGCCATTAGTGGCGGGTTAGATGGCAGCCCACAAATACTGCCATTGATAAGGCCCTTTGAGGTAAGCAGAATGATACTTCACCTGTATTCATTCTGTGATCTTGGTTTCTAGGAACTCTGTTTAGATTTTGCTGAATTTTAAATTGCCTGGGGAGCTTTTAAAAATCCCAGGCCACACTCATACCAATTAAATCAGAATCTCTTCCAGGAGACTCCAGTATGCAGATAGTTTAAGGACCAGTGCTTCTTGACACTGAAAGTACATATGAATCACCTATGGATCTTGATGAACTTGCAGGTTTTGAGTGTAGGTCTAGGCTGAGGCACAAAATTCTGCTTTTTTTAAACTGTATTTTTATTAAATATGGAACACCTCACAAATTTGGGTTATCTTTGATAGGGGGCCACGCTGATCTTCTCTGTATTGTTCTAATTTTAGTATATGTGCTCTCAAAGCAAGCACAGAGGCCGGCACGTTGGCTCATGCCTATAATCCCAGCACTTTGGGAGGCTGAGGCAGGTGGATCATGAGGTCAGGAGTTCAAGACCAGCCTCGCCAACATGGTGAAACTCCGTCTCTACTAAAAGTACAAAAATTAGCCAGGTGTGGTAGTGCGTACCTGTAATTCCAGCCACTCGGGAGGCTGAGGCAGGAGAATTGCTTGAACAAGGACCCGGAAGGCAGAGGTTGCAGTGAGCTGAGATCACGCCACTGCACTCCATCCTAGGCTACAGAATGAGACTCTGTGTCAAAAAAAAAAAAAAAAAAAAAAAAAAAAAAAGCAAGCACAGATACCACATTTCTAACCAGCTCCCAAGTGAAGCCCACAATGGTCTTCCCTCTACTTCTGTCTTCTGAAAGAAATTATAAAGAATTCATACAGTTGCTTCTTTCAGTGTTTGATATAATTTGCCAGTGAATCTATCTGGGCCTAGGGGGTTTCTGTTTTGGAAGTTTATTAATTATTGATTCAATTTTTAAAATAATCCTGGGTCTTTACAGATTGCCTATTTTTTGTGGGTGTGAATTCTGGCAGACTGCATCTTTCAAGAAATTGGTCCATTTTACCTAGGTTATCAAATTTGTGGAAATAGTTTTGTTATTATCCTTTTAATGTCTGTGGGGTCTTAAGTGATGTCTACTTTTTTTTTTTTTTTTAATTTGTACTGACAGGGCCAACGAGGTTATGCCTACTCTTTTAATTCTGATATTAGTAATTATTTCCTCTCTCTTTTTTTGGGGGGAGACATTAATTTTACTGATCTTTTCAGATAACTGGCTTTTTTTTTGTTAATTTTCTCTATTGATTTTCAGTTTCATTTTTTTCTGATTTTTATTATTTCTTTTCTTCTGCTTAATTTGTCTACAATTTGCTCTTCTATTTCTAGTTTTCTAAGGAGGTAGCATAGATTATTGATTTTGGAATTGTCTTTTTTTTTCTAATATATGTGTCCAATGATATAAATTTGCCTTTCATTGCTACTGCTGCATCCCACAAATTATATTTTCATTTTTATTTAGTTCAGAATTTCTACATATATAATTAAGTACATTGTTGCTATTATTATTTTGACCAGTTATCTGTTAGATCAATTAAGAATAAGAAAAATAAAAGTTTTTATCTTTTTATATTTACTTATTCCTTCTCTAATGCTCCTCCTTTCTTTATGTAGATTTCCTTTTCTGACCTTTATCGATTTTCTGACCTTTATCAATTTTCTTCTCTTTGAAGAATGTCTTTTGGCCAGACATGGTGGCTTATGCCTATAATCCCAGCACTTTGGGATGCTGAGGTGGGAGGATACTTGAAGCCAGGAATTTGAAAGCAGGCTAGCCAACATAGTGAGATCCTATCTCAAGTTTTTTTTCTTTTTCTTTTCCTTTTTTCTTTTTCTTTCCTTTTTTCTTTTGTTGCAGTGAGCTGTGATCGTGCCTGTGCACTTCCAGTGAGCCCTGATCGTGCCTATGCACTCCCAGGCTGGAGTGCACAGGCAGGATCAGGGCTCACTGCAGCCTTGACTTCCCAGGCTCAAGCAATCCTCCTACCTCAGCCCCTCAAGTAGCTGGGACTACCAGTGTGTGTGTCACCATATCTGACTAATTTTTTTGTTTTTTTAGTAGAGATGGGGTTTTGCTTTGTTGCTCAGCCTGATTTTGAATTCCTGAGCTCAAATGATCTGCCCACTTCAGCCTCCCAAGTTGCTGAGATTATAGGGATGAGCCTCCATGGAGGGCCTTCTATTTTTAAAAAAATAACAAAATAGAAAAACTTTTAAAAATCACTTTTGCAAGGTAGATCTACTGATAGTAAATTCCCTTGATGTTTATTTGTCTGAGAAAGTCTATTTCTCCTTTAAGTTTGAAGGAAAATTTCACAGTATACAGAATTCTAAGTTGGTGGTATTTTTCTACCAACATGTTAAATATACTGCATTCTCTTCCTACTTGCATGGTTTCTAAAAAGTCAGATATAATTCTTATCTTTGTCCCTCTACATGTAAGAATATTTTTCCCCTCTGGCTTCATTGAAGATTTTTTCTTTATCTTTGATATCCTGCAGTTTGAATATGATATACCTATGTGTAATTTACTTGGGATTTATTCTTCCTGGTGTTCTTTGAGTTTTCTAAATCTGTAGTTTGGTAGCTAACATTAATTTGGGAGACACGCTCAGTTTATAATTGCTTCAAATATTGTTTTTGGTCGGAAGCAGTGGCTCACACCTGTAAGTCCAGCACTTTGGAAGGCCCTGGTAGTGGACCACCTGTGGTCAGGAGTTTGAGACCAGCCTGGTCAACATGATGAAACCCTGTCTCTACTAAAAACACAAAAAGTAGCTGGGCATGGTGGTGAGAGCCTGTAATCCCATCTACTCCCATGTAATCCCATCTTAAAAAAAAAAAAAAAAAAGAAAATCTACGTATCTATATATCTAGTTTTCATTCCTTTCTCTCTGTGAGTTATAATTTTTTGTAATTGTCCTGCAGTTCTTGAATATTTTGCTACCCCTCCCTTTTTTTTTTTTTTTGAGACAGAGTCTTCCACTGCCACCCAGGCTGTAGTGCAGTGGCGCGATCTTGGCTCACTGCAATATCTGCCTCTTGGGTTCAAGCAATTCTCCTGCCTCCGCCCCCCAGGTAGCTGAGACGAAGTGCGCCACCATGCCCTGCTAATTTTTTTGTATTTTTAGTAGAGACGGGGTTTCATCGTGTTGGCCAGGATGGTCTCGATCTCCTGACCTCGTGATCTGCCCACCTCAGCCTCCCAAAGTGCTGGGATTACAGGCGTGAGCCAGCGCCCTTGACCTGCTTTTTTTTTTTTTTTCCTCTTTGCTTTTTCAGTTTTTACTGAACATCCTAAAGCTCAGAGAATCTTTCCTCAGTTGTGTTTAGTCGACTCATAAGCTCATGAATGGCAATCTTCATAGTATTTTTAATCTCTAGCATTTTTTTTTTTTTTGGCTCTTTCTCAGAATTTCCATCGGTCTTATTACCTTTATCCATTGGCGTTTTCATTTATTTCTTTTTCTTTTTTCTTTTTCTTTTTTAGAGGCATAAAAAAGAGTGCACCCTGAGTCACCCAGGCTAGAGTGCAGTGACATGATCATAGCTCATTGCAGCCTCAAACTGCTGGGCTCAAGTGATTCTCCTGCCTCAGCCTTTTGAGCACCTCTGACTACCGACATGCACCACTGTGTCTGAGCATTTTTTGTAATTTTTGTAGTGATGGGCTCTTGCTATGTTCTGCAGTGTGGTCTCAAACTTCTAGCTTCAACTGATTTTCCTGTCTGGGTTTCCTAAAATGCTATAATTATAGGTGTGAGCCACCATGCCCAGCTTATTTATTTATTTTTATTTTTGGAGACGGAGTCTGGCTCTGTCGCCCAGGTGGAGTGCAGTGGCGCAATATTGGCTCTTGCCTGAGTAGCTGGGACTATAGGCATGGGCCACCATGCCTGGCTAATTTTTATATTTTTAGTAGAAACCAAGTTTCACCATTTTGGCCAGGTTGGTCTTGAACTCCTAACCTCAGGTTATCCACCCACCTTGGCCTCCCAAAGTGCTGGGATTACAGGTGTGAGCCACCATGCCTGGCTGGAAACAAATGATTTTTTGTTTTGGAGACAGAGTCTTGCTCTATCACTCAGGGTGGCATGCAGTGGTGTGATCTCAGCTCACTGCAACCTGTGCATCCTGTGTTCAAGCAATTCTCATGTCTCATCCTGCCAAGTAGCTGGGATTATAGGCATATAGCACCATGCCAGGCTAATTTTTGTATTCTTAGTAGAGATGGGGTTTCAATGTGTTGGGCAGGCTGGTCTCGAATTCCTGGCCTCTTATTTTTTGAGACAGGGTCTCACTGTGTCCACACTGGAGTGTAGTAGTAGTGTAATCCTGGTTCACTATAGCCTCAAACCCCTGGGTCTGACTGATCCACCAGCCTCAGTCGCTCAAGTAGCTAGGAATACACCCACATGCCAGCCCACACACCTCATTTAAATTTTTTAGTTTTTAATTTAATTTAATTTTGAGACAGGATCTCACTTTGTTGCTCAGGCTGGAGAGCAGTTGCGTGATCACTGCTCACTGAAGCCTTGACTTCTCCAGGCTCAGAGGATCTTCCGGCCTCAGCCTCCTGAGTAGCTAGCACTGCAGGCGTACGCCACCATGCCCAGCTAACTTTTGTATTTTTTGTAGAGATAGGGTTTTGCCATGTTGCCCAGGCTGGTCTTAAACTCCTGCATTCAAGCAATCCTACCTCGGCCTCCCAATATGCTGGGATTATAGGTGTGAGCTACTATGCCTGGCCACATTAGAGCTTTTATCATATTAATCATAGTTGTTTTTAATTCCTACCCTGATAATTTTACCCTTCCTAAAATATCTGTGTCTGGTTCTGATGCTCTGTCTCTTCAAACTATTTTTTGCCTTTTAGTATGCCTTATAATTTTTTGGTTGAAAGCCAGACATGATGTACTAGGTAAAAAGAACTGTAGTAGCTAGGCCTTTCCTGATGTGCTAGTGAGGTGTGGTGGGGGGTGGGAGCAAGTATTACATAGTCCTGTGAGTAGGTCTCAGTTTTTTAGTAAGCCTGTGCTCCTGGGCTGTGAACTTCACAGTGCCTCCCGGTCTCCCCAGCCTCCCACCTTAAATAGCACAATATGGCCAGACAGCGTCGGAGTTGGGTATTTCCCTCACCAAGATCATTTAAGTGCTCACAAAACCTCAATAAGTTAGCCTCTGACAAAATAGTTTCTCTTAAAGGCAGGTCTTGTTAAGAAGAACAGAATGTTCTGGTATAATTAAAATGGTTAATTTTCCTCTGCACAGTCCAATGCTAAAGGGATTTTTTTTTTTTTTTCATCTTCAGTGTAAGAGCATCATAAAGTTCCAGGAGACAGAACATGGGTCCAGAAATGATCTTTTCAGTATGCTTGTGCAGATGAGGTTCATAGCTGCTGA